AAGTACCAAGCAACAATAAAGATTCTGATAACTGCAACAATTTTGGTAAGAGACATGTTGAATTGTGCAAATTTATCAGTATACATATATTGAATGGAAGATATCACAGAGACAAGCAAGGTGAATATATACATGCATTACACACAATGGTGCCAGTACTATTGACTATATGATAGCTTCCCCTAGCCTCATTCCATGTATATCTGACTTTGGAGTAGGTGAGCGAGATGAGTCAAATCACTTCCCAGTGTTTTGCAGGTTTAATTTTGCTCATAATGATTGCAGTAATGTACAAGTCAACAAGTACAATGGTGATTCTCTGCTTAGTGAACTTGAAGTTAATCCCTGGTACAAATACCCATGGAAGGAAGATAATAAAGATGTCTTTAAATCCAAGTTTAAAGACTTGTATGACCTCCTCAAAGATGAAATTGAACAGATAATGTTCAACAGATGTTAATACTGCACTCTGTCGACTTGTGAATGTCTACCAAGAAGCAGCATCTATAAACAAGAGACTTTACTGTTTTCCTTCAACCCATAATAAATCTAGACAGATTAGTCAACCACTTTGGTGGGACTGTGAACTTGAAAACTAAAAGAATGAAAAATACTGTGCCCTGAGAGGACATAGAGACTATTGTTTAGATATGGGTTCAGGGAGTTGCGATCTAAACTCAAGAAAACTTTTGCACTTAAAAGACAATCTTATCAAAATCAACAGCAACAAAAACTAATTGAATCAAGAGCTAATCCTAAATTATTCTGGAAATTGTTAAAGCAAGGGAGACAATCACAATTGCTAGTTGGAATTAGAAACGATTAATGGATGAAGCACTTTTCTTCCCTCCTCCACTCAGAAAATAAACCCATCTTACCTCCATCAATTGACACAGATAATTATGTAACTGATGATACCCCGGCACATGAAGAATTAAATCAACCTAAAACAAATCAAGAAGTTGAACAACATATCCAAAAGCTTGCAAATAATAAATCACCAGGACCTGATGGTATTGTCTCTGAATATTTCAAGAATACAAAAAATATAATTTTACCTACATTGACTGCTCTCTTTAATGAAATACTTGACAATGGTGTGTTTCCAAATGCTTGGAATAGATTGATCATTTGCCCTCTTTTTAAGTCTGGAGACAAGCATGATGTAAACAACTGCAGGGGAATATCCTTGATTGACAACATTTTTAGTCTGCAGGCAATAACTCAAAATATGCAGGGAGAAGAAAGGGGAGATTTTACTGCCTCTTTGTTGACTTTTCAAAGGCATTTGACACCATAAGACATGATAGATAATCTACTGAAAAGCCTACATGATGTTGGGATCAAGGGTAAACTGTTCAACATAATTTCATCAATGTATTCAAGTCTGTGTGCTTGTGTAAGGGCTTCAACTGGACTAACTGATTATTTTGAATGTAATATTGGCACCCGGCAGAGCTGTATTTTGGGTCCACAACTATTTATGATATTCATAAACAAGCTTTAATTCAACTTGAAGACTGTGGAGGAGAAGGTGTTTTTATATTACAAGATTTTAAAAATGTTTCTGCCATAATGTTTGCAGATGATGTTTCATCTGTATCATATTCAGCAGTTCAACTACAAAAGAAAATTGATGCTCTACACTTATTCTGTTTACAAACTGGTATGAAAGTCAATCTGAAGCAGACAAAAGTAATGGTATTTAGAAATGGTGGTCCCCTAAGAAGTTGTGAAAAGTGGTCATATAATGGTGAAATCATTGATGTTGTTCCATTTTACAGATATTTAGGAATTATGTTCACCCCCGAACTTGTGTGGACCCAGGCTCAAACATGTTTAGCTGCTCAGAGTCCCAAAGCTGTGTTTGCCATAAATAGATATCAGAAGAAACTTGGTGATATTCCATGCAAAGATTTATTCAAAATTATTGATAGTATTGTAACTCCTATCCTGTGCTATGGCTCTGAAATCTGGGATGTTAATTACAGCAAACTCATTGAGGATATTCAAGTTAAGGTGTGCAAATTAGTTCTTAAAGTGTCAAGAAATACATGTAATGTGATGGTGCTTGGTGAGTGTGGTAGAGCTCCTTTACAGCTTACATATATGACAAGAGCTGTGAAGTACTGGCGCAGGCTGATACAACTGAGCCCGGAGAGACTACCACATATCAGTGTTACAAGATGCTAGCTGTTCTGGATGATTCAGATCGCACCACCTGGTCGCACACACATTAAAAATATTTTATTCAGATTTGGATTTGGATATGCATGGATAGCACAAGAAGTTGGGGATAAAATTGTTTTTATTTCCATGTTTAAACAGAGACTATTTGACAACTTGCAGCAAACCTGGAGTGTAAATGTGAACAGTTTATCTGACTCTTATTCCTATAAACATTTTAAATCACTACTAAATGTTGAATATTACTTAAATTCACCACTTCCATCTCACTTAAAAAGGATTTTTAAGTAACTTTCCAATAGCAGTAAATACTGGAAGATACCATGCCTAGCCATATGAAGAAAGACTTATTATTAATTTGTGAATCCTACAGCTCCCTTCATAATGCACTTTTAGATAAATATATTACCTCTAACCTTCAGCATAACTTTATCTCTATTATTTCCTCAGATGCATATGACACCTTATATAAAATATGTATTTTTTTCCAAAATCTCATCAACTTAGGGTAAATAGTAAATAATCCACTGCGAATTTATAAGTATAATAAAACATTAAATAATGTAAATTTTCCCAGTTTGTAAATATGTCATTTTGCGCAGGCTTAATGTATTCCTGCATATGTGTGTATTTTGGGCCAGTGGCCTTTTATTGAATAAATTGTCTGTGTGTCTGTCTGTCTGTCTGCCATACATTCAATGCAAAAAATAGCCTGCCGTAAATGACGAAAACTGATTTTTCTCTATGACGTCAAAAGGCGACAGAGAGGTTACACACGAAAAAAGAAAAGGGGGCATAACTCCGCTATGCTTAGCTCCAGTTTATTTAAACTCAGGTCACTTGGTGAGAATTAGCTGTGGGTAAGGACAGTATATTTTCGTGGTATTTTGTTCACGAGTAACCAAACTATTCCAACACAAATATTGATTTTGAAACTGTATACTCCCTTATATTACCGTAAGAAATTATGAAACTTACTTAATATAAAAAGAAGTAAAAGCGAAATGAATGGCCCTATCTAAGCTGTTAATTAGTCCTTAGATTACAACATTCTTCTGACTGTGCAAGTGTAATTTGGCTTATGTTGCACCATTATTAATGGAGTACTAGTCTTATGATCAAATGTAATGAAATACTAAAAACATGACACCGTTCTATTTTGATGTCATGGCTGGTTTTATATCTTTGACAGCGTCGGAGAAAGACGACACTGGTATTTTGATTAATATATATATACCTCCCCTAATTACTTTTTACTATTCTTGGAGAAAGAAAGTAAACAGTTTAATACCCTGTGATCACAATATTTAGAAAAAGAGGAACATTTTGATTATATAATGCAAAACGAGAGGAATAATTCGTAAATAGTTTGTGACAACGCGCTCCTGCGAATCGTTAGATATCGCTGTTATGTTTATCAAACGACCTAAAAAAACTATTCCAAGACCAAGACAATTCTCCTGGAAATGTGTGCGTATATTTTAATGCAAAATATCCATTTTGATATAGTTATAAAAATTCAGTTTTAGTTTTAAAATAAAATGAAACGGCTATTCATGGAAGTTGTTTATATGAACTTATAATATTGACTTTGACACTCCCAAGAAATTTCTGTTGAAAAATATCAAATCATAGCAATGTATTTATTTTTAATTCCCTAATTCTTCCTATAATTCTCTTCACATGCATATTCTGAACGAATAGACGAATGGATAGCTAAAAAAGGGGGAAAATGCTACACTGTAAAATATGTATTTTGCTTTGTTTACATTTCAAACAAGTGCAGTTTTTCGAGCACAGCGTTGTTTTCACACCTAACTTATTTTGCTTGATTTGATCTTGGCACTTTGTATCGGTGACAGAGACCATGTGTCATTTGATTATAAAATGTATGAGGAATTCAAGGATGTATGTATCACAGCTGAGTTTGAAATACGCGTAATGTTACAGGCGTCTCATTACCGGTAAGCTACATGTGAAACGTGATTTTGTAAACACTATCTAATATGGCGGAAAGTTCACAGTATACAAAACTGTGAAGTGTATCTGTGTGTCTGATGTATTTGAATTTTATTCGACTTCAAAGTGAGGTTTGAAGAGAGGGGACATATATACCCCTCTGGCATCCTGCCCCTGAGGGTGAAAAACAACAACAAATAACCAAAACCCTATCTATAGCTCTGAATTCATCTGGGAAATCTGGTCAGTCGTGAGACGAGAGTGTAAAGAAGGTGTCACCGACTGGGAAGTAGCTTGATTGTAATGGTAAAATGGGAGAGAGAAAATAAATATCTCGCCAATCAGAAATATTTCTTTTTAAATTTCAGCAGCAATAATATGCAACACATCTCTGTTTGTTAATCTGTATCGCCCACATGAGGTCTGTGCTGTACTTGAATATGTCGCAAAGCCAGCATTGTGCCGCCCTGTGAATTACTGATATCGTATTTAGCAGAGAAAACAGCAGGCAGCTTTAGTGTTTAGACCTAAGCCGGAATGCCGTGACGTCATCGACAGTGTGACGTCACTGTCATTGTACATTTGGCGCCACGTCAGCTGGGCGAACCTTGGCTCGGTCTGAGGTCACCGAGTGCAGCGAGATGTAAACAAACAGGTTTGTTTGTGTTTTTCACGATTAATTACAAACTTATGGCGTAAAATTAACACAGAAACATATGACGACCTGCATGAACATATCACGAGGTGCGGTGTTTACATACCAATCACACATCGTCTCTATTTACACTCAGTTAACAATTTTCTTACCTGATCATGAGAACTTCCAAACACAACAAATGACAAAATGTCTGACAAAGTTTTTACAAGTTTTATTCATCTCCAAAAACAACAAACAGTTTAACGTTAATAAAGACATATGTACACACGACGACGTGAACGGCACACCACGTCACTGTCAGGTCTCCCCCCATCGTCCACACAAACACGACACTGACGTCACTGAGCGCCGCGGGACACGAGGAGATCCAACACTCGCGTATGTCCCCTGCGTCTCGCCAGGTCGGCCGCCGTCAACCCCCTGTTGTTCCTGGCGTCGATGTCCACCACGTGCAGAGACAGCACAAACTTCACCGTCTCCAAGTGACCTCCCCAACAGGCGTAGTGAAGGGTGTTGTAACTGTGCCCGGTCACCAGTGACACATCGGCCCCTTCACTCACCAGGAGCTCCACCACGTCTCTGTGTCCCCCGTATGCTGCCCACATCACCAGTGTCATGCTCCACCCTCCCCACCTACAGTTGACGTCCACGCCCTGAGACACGAGCCGCTTCACCTCCTCCAGGTTCCCGGCCTTGCTGGCGTCACAGAGGTGCTCGCAGTCTGCTGGTGATGGAGTCGCTGTAACACAAAGTAAACTCTGTACACTTCCAGACATCTTCGTCATACATCAACATGGTTCACACCTCAACATGGTGACACGTGACACGGTACGTCATCAACCACTTCCGACATGGCTGACAACACAAGGATCAAGGGGAAGGACGACAGCTGGTTCATGTAATCAAGGATTATGTGGTCAATGTTTAGAATCTTTCTGTCACATCCAGTTGTTGTAACATTATTCTATGTGTGGCTGGAGAGTGTCAACGTTTGATGAACTGAGCTTTATGAGATGATACTGTCAGTACAGTTGCTGTTTGGAAATATTAGATAGATCTTATAAGACATGAAATTGGAGTATGTCAGTCTGTTTGTTTGTTGTTTTACGCCGCACTCAGCAGTAGTCAAGCAATAAGATGGCGGAGTCGGATGAAGACTGACAGTCCAGTGGTTGACAACATGAGCACCGATCTACACAACTGGAATACGATAATATGCAAGAAGCAAGTCAGAACCCTCACGGGTCTATACCCCAGCTTGTTAATTGTTGGGGGGATTAAAGTGTGGGCTTTCTACCTGCTGGGTTCTCCCACCTACCCTGTGTAGCAGGCTTTTTTGTGGTCGTCACTGGTGTACTCGCTGTCTGACTCGGGTCGCTCGAGGCTGAAACACAGAACATGCTGTTCAGAAAACAATACAAACTAAATAAGCATTATAGATACAAGATATTCGACAAAGTTTGTGTTTTTAAAATTTGACTGATGAATACAATTTCAAAACCATTCATCTTAGTAGAGGTATAAATATAAGGTCGTCTAGCGACTAACAAATCACTCAAACGACTAGATTCTATCATAAATACAACACAAACGTTGAGATTGCTGTTAATCTGAGCCGCGCGTCAGTACAGGCTTGTTGGATTGAGCCTTATGGTGCTACTGCCAGTACAATTGACTTGTTACAAATTATTAGGATAATAAGAGATTACATTTATCAGCTTGTTATTGTAGAGACTGTTCATATGAAGGTTTTTGGAGTGAACTTTCAGGCTTATATTTGTTACATGTTGATGTGACCTCATCTCGTACAAAGTTGGACAGTGACAGTATCTACCACCTGCTGGCTTCTTCCACCTACCATGGGTCGTCACTGTCGTCGTCTGTGCAGCCCTTTCTCCGTGACTCGGGTCGTTCGAAGCTGAAACACAAAATATGCTGTTCATTAGGGTTGGGTGAGTTGGGTTTTACAGGTTCTTAGCAATATTCCAACAATATCTGGGCGGGGAACACCAGACATGGGCTTCGCACATTGTACCCATGTGGGGGAATCGATCCCGGTTTTTCCGCGCGAAGAGCGAATGCTTTAACCACTAGGCTACCCACCACCCAAAACCCCCATATATGCTGTTCAGAAAACTATATATTGCAGGTAAACATTATAACTACTGGCCTCAGAGAAGCTTTTGCCTTCAACAAATGTGTGACTTTCAAATTTATTCACTGATGAACATAACTTATAATACATTTGTTGCAGTAGATGTATTATTAATATACCATAGCATGGTGACTGACACATTTTGGAAATCACTTATATTTATTAGATTTAGATTGCTTTTATTTATTTAATCACTTCCTGAATAAACCTAAGCTGCACACTGCCTCTGTGCTAACTGCTGAGATATATCTCTTCTCTTGGTTGAAGTTGCAGGAACTGAATAGATTATTTTGTTGTCATAAATAATATTATCATACAACATAAATGAACATTACTACATCAGCGATAGAAATTGGAACTCGTCCTATATTCCTTGCCAAACATCCCAATAGTTCAGATATCATAACGACTAGGCTTGTAAACATATGTTATTTTTAGGGTTTTATATGTTACCATTATGAGGACTAAGGACTAAACATCTCAGTTTATATTAGTGTACACAGAATACACAGAATATGTGCATTTATTATTTTGGAACTTTACAACATGGTATTACATCAGCTACCTACCCTTAATTCCCAATTATGGAATGATTAGTATTTTAGTCTGACTTCGTTAGTTGTGGGTGGAATGGTCCCCGCAAGTTGGTGCGTTGTTGCATAATATCTGCATTTGAGTATCAATACTGTGAATAGCAAACCTACTTCGCTCATACAGGTCAAATACTGTTTTCTAATTTGCATTGCCTGCTATGTTATTACTGTATATTTAAATTATACTCAGGTATTTGTTGTGAGTGAGAATCAATGCACATCCGTTATATATATTTTGACCAGGATATGACGCCCACCAGTGTAATTCTAGAGGGAAAAATATATTTCTCGTGCATTTCAACGTCTGTGGACAATGGACATTTTACACAATTGTTACATCGTCAAATCGACAACTGTCTTGATGGTTTCTCTGTGTACATATTGCCTTTGCCAATTGATGATAACAGGCTACTAAATGTAGAGTGCTGCGACCTATCGTAAATTATTTGTTGTTCCAAGTGACTTTGCTTGATGTTTTAGTCCCCACCCTCCCCAAACACACTCTTAACTAGACTCTGAAACTGGTGCATTTTACGTCGTTTGGTGTCTCGGGCTACATAGTATTACAAATGTCGATACACGACATGCTACAGAATAATATGTCAGTGATGACATTTTCATGATGATATACAATGGGGCATACAATGAATGTAAAAGAGCAACTAAACAGGTCTAGTTGACTAAGCGCGTGTGCAACACAGTGGTAATTCAGTGTCAGGAAAACTCTTTGCAACACTGTCATAATTCAGCATTCCGAGCGATGGCGGCAGTACACCCATCAGAGATCCGCTTACTATCTGAGGCAAAACTGTCGCCGGCACTACAAGATGTTTGATACGGTGTTTGCTTGTGTAAAGAAGGGAATAAACATGTGGCTCTATAAAGTGATAAGACTGAAATGCCGATTGCCCGTGTGACATGCGCCAAATTGTTTTCGCATTTAACGTCCGTTCTAACTAACTCATACAAAAACGAGAATCATGCACATTTGCCCTTATATATTCTACATGTCCTTGCCATTCTTTAAAAACAATGTAGTGTCCTGCAGATATACAATTGTTCCACATAATATTTAGAGGATTAGAAGAACAAAGCTGCACGCCTTGAGTGTAAAAATAATATGGCTGACACGTTTGGCCATTCTATGATGCAGAACAACGTTTTAAAAATATGAGCGAAAAAACGCATCCGACACTTGACTGAACAGATTTAGAATAATATCATATTGTCTTCAGTCTCAGTTGTAAATAATTCTTATTAGTTCAGAGATGAAACGTACAAGCATATATTTTGCAATATAGATCTACTGATTAAAATAGAACAAGCTTTTCAGTTGAAACGAGGTATGAATGTTTACGTCCAGACGTTTGTTATCCCCGGTGACAGGCTAAACAAACGTCTGGGTGTAAACATTGTGTGAAGCACAGGACCATGTAGATTCTAACAATAAAAATATAATAAAACTCGCAAAAAAATCATAGACGATTATATTATTATTGTTACATGGTCCTGTGTGTGAAGCAAGCACCCGATTCCTTCAAAATGTATTCTGTTGTACATCAATCTTGGTATATTTACAATGTTAGTTTCATTTACGAAGTACGAACTGAAAACTTACCCACCGTTTACGTCCTAACACGAGCGACACATCTCACTGCCAGTTAAGAAACGCCTTGACTGGCGAAGGGGCGAGCTATGACGTCAGTGTGACGTGTCTGGTTATGAGCATGGCATAGTTTGGCGCTCGGCTGCTTGTGCCGATCACTCTGTTATAGTTACAACACACCGAGGCGATTTGTTTGGGCAGTAAGAGCACGGTTTGGCTTGGCATTTGATTGACAGACAAAAGGACCGAGGGGCGGAGCCCCGAGGTGATCCTTTTGTCTGTCAATCAAATGCCAAGCCAAACCGTGCTCTTACTGCCCAATCAACGAGTAGGTGGGTGTGTTGTAAGTGACTTGTAGCACGGGTTGCGACAGTCATTCCAAAATTGTGCGAGTTTGTGTAAAATTTAGTGACGTATAATATGACGTTAACGTTTAACTTTTGATCTAATTGTAATATCAAGTGTAAACTTTGGAATTTTAGAAATGTCAACTATTAATTTTCCGAATTTAGCAAAATGCGTTCTGTGTCCAGTTGTTTTTATGTTTGACAGTTACATTGTAATCTTTTAATTAAGTTATGAACATTTCTATTGCTTTTTGTTGTTTATTTACGTTATTACTCTTGAACACTGTGTACAACACTAAAGAAACATTGTAAGTTTGAAATTTCTTAGGCGGGGCTTGCTGATCTTGGCATCAGCCAATGGTAATAATCTTTAACAAACCGTGCTCTTACTACCATGATATAGCACGGGTAAGATCAAAGGTACCGCTCGCAAACCGTGCTACAAAAGATAATACAGTGTGGAGTGATACAAGATCTACAAGTCTTACTACCGTCTTACCATATTTCGTTTCAGATTGCATGTTGAGGTAAAAAATTAGGCCTACTTCATTGATTAAAGAAATCTACCTCATCATCGTGCGTAAAATATGTCTTTATTTTTATTCTAAGATGCTTTGCTAAAAGATCAAAGGCACCGACTATACTTTATCCTGCGACAAAGCATTGTGTCCGCGTGAAGATCCGGGGTAGAATAGGTCTTGAGCAACCCATGCTTGCCGTAAATGGTGACTATGCCTGTCGTAAGAGGCGACTAACGGGATCGGGTGGTCAGGCTCGTTTACTTGGTTGATGCATGTCATCGATCCCAATTGCGTGGATCGATGTTCATGATATTAATCACTGGATTGTCTGGTCCAGATTCGATTATGTACAGACCACCGTCATTTAGCTGGAATATTGCTGAGTGCGGCGTAAAACAACAAACCAACCAAACTAACTGTGCGACAGCAGTCACAAAATTGTTCGATGCGGGCGTCGGCCCCGGTGCCCTACGAATTAATTATATATATATATATATATATATGTCTTCAGCATGGATCGATGCTCATGATATCAATCAATGGATTTCCTGGTGTTGACTCGATTATTTCCAGACCACCGTCATATAGCCGCTGTTATAAAAAAATAAATGTCAAAATCCGTCGTTTTTCTGCATGTTTTCTTTAATATCAACACACTGGACAGATAAAAAAATAGGACCTATTATAATAAACTAATCATTTTAGTCGTGTTGTATTATATTTTTAACGTAAATATGTCTCTGAGCGTAAGGAAATACAGGCAATCAAGTGGACCAGCCCGTCAGTTAGCCTGTTGGAGGATTTTCAATTTACCGCATGTTAATACAGATTTGATTTTAAACCCCTCTCCAAGACAAACAATTGATCATTTTTAAATTCTGCAGCTTAGAAAATTAATAAAGTTTGCTCTAGCCGCACGTATAGTGTAATACAGTATAATTTTGCAACTAAACTATTATAACGTCAAAGCACCGCAAGCGTCCTCGTGCTTTAACTATAATAGTTAAGGGTAACACTATACTTTTAATGGGGGTAGAGCAAACTTTATTTCTTAACTAAAACTCAACAGTGTGATTAAATGACTTTTTAAGATAAATTAACAGAAGGCAAGGTAACAACAAGTACCTACTTTTAACGTCTTTGAGAATGCTTAGATGCAAGTTTCTTTACCTAATTCTTTTTCCAGATAGACGTGTGAGATATTAAAAGGTAACATTCTCAATAGCTCCATTGGCTTTTACCATACTAGTACACACGCACATTCCATTCCGCCATCCCTGTCGCTCACGACCGACTCCGTGGTCTAGTGGTAGAGGTCGGAAGGTCCGGCGTTCGATCCCCGGCCGCGTCATACCAAAAAACGTTAAAAGATGGTACTTGTTAATACCCAGTCTGGCGCTCTCGGCATAAACAGGCTTAAACAAGAACTGGTCGGCTCGAAGTCAGTATACTGTGTCTGAGTTGGGTATTCATGTTAAACTGCGGCATGGTGTCTCAGTGAGCTAGCACTGTAAATCGGCATCAGTCCGGAATAGTACAAGCAGCCACACACATATACTGAACCAAATTTAAAACTTCACAATCCTAAAATTTTAACATCTTGACCAGTTATCATTGTGGGCCCTTATTGTGTATTAAACAGTAATGGCCACGTATTGTCTTCAGATAACACCCGTTTTTGTGCAGGTGAATCGAT